TCTCTCTCTCTCTCTCTTTCTCTTTCCACGCTGCTACCCTATCTGCGTACCGAACGAACAACCCCTTGACAAGCCTTCAGATTTGTACCGAGGATTATGTTGACCTTCTGCTCGAATCTATTGCCTCTGAGGGGACGACAGGTTCTAGCGTAGAGAAGAGCGACGCGCTGGGACTTTGGGAATTTCGAACGATGATCCCAGCACCCGGTCCACCGCGTCTGTACCTGATGCTATCTCATCCTCGATATTATCTTTTCATATTTTATATATCGATGTTATCTCGACGGATGCTACATTATTGGTATTATAGAGCGAGGTGTTTTGAATGGATACGAATCTCTGATTTATCAGCTTCCTTTTGTGAATCATTCTCGGGCAACTTTAACTTCTGTTGGATGGAGGTATCGTATATTTGGGGACACGTAATTCGTTATGTTTATCGAGAAATTCCAACAAACTTCACACTGTAAATTTTACTCCGGTGAAAGATCGTCGTGAAAATGAAAATTGCACGTGATTTGTCTTATTGTATATTGTTGGACAGAAAAACAACTCTGTGTCAAACAATTCCTTCAGTTTTCTTACATTCGTCGATGATTCACTTCTCGCCGAGTTCGCGCAAAAATCGTAGGAGACTCATAGCTAATCGACCGGACTATTTACTCAGGACGTTTCCGTCCCTGAGAAAACTGAGTGAACCTTCCTTTGCTCAGCCAACTGATTCTACCAGCTTTGCCACACACTTGACAACTATGAAACTATCAAGAATTGTTCGTTTTGAAATAGAATCACAGCGGAGTATTTTACAATATCTCCAATTAGAGATCCACTCGATTTTGTCACAGTTCCTCTAATCAAATCTCGCCCCTTGTTGTTTCCTATTTGTATTCATTTTTCTTTTTTCTTTTTTTTTTTCAAGGTGTTTACGTAGTTGCGCGACAGTGGTGTAACGCGGTGGCTGTTCGAAAATTCATTGCTACCAGATTTTCCTGTAGCCAGCGACTCGTCCCTGTGGTAAAGTCCTCTCCACAAAACTCGTTCGCGCCCTCGAGTCCGACACTTATACTCCCATTAAAAGAATCCCCGTTTATTACGGCGCTCACTTTGCGAACTTAATGGCCGGCGTGCCTACCGGTCACACGCGAGGAAACAGAGACACACAGAGGGAGAGAGCGGACGATAAAGGAGAGAGGAACTCCCCGCGCCGGGGAGGGAAGGGGACACGATCACGATCACGAGGCCTTACTTGACCGATCGGACGAGTTTTTAGTTGGAAATGATCAGTGGTCACCCCGGTGCTCGTGCCTAGTTTGCGATCTGTAAAGGACGCTGGAATGATTTGTGAGGGCCGACAGATGTTGGCCTCGCCTCGTAGACACATATTCCATCCCTTGTGTTCCATCGGGCTCATCCAGCGTGTTGCAAAGCGGCCGCTCACTCGAGAACTTATGCCCGCTCAATTGAGCGTAAAGAATGCACGCAAACATTACTGCGTGAGGTATTCTAGGTCCCTGTCTGTCTGTCTGCGGCCATCTTCTCCCTTTCCTTTCTGAGGAATATTCAGGGCAAATAATAATTTATTCGCAACAAAAGAACGTATACGAACCGTATGGAGGAGCTCCTGTAAACAGGATGTTCACAAACATGACGGATGTAAACTGCAGACCATATATATATATATTTTGAGCGAGCAATGAGACGTTGATTCTTGTTAGGTAATTTTCGAGAGTATTGTATGAGCATCTTCGTGCCGATATACCGTGATCCGTCGTTTTTTCACGTTCTCCTCTTTGTCGGGAAATTGGACGGGACTAAATAGCGCTCGTTGTGCGCTTTCTATCCTTAATTATTTTGTAAAGCTGCTTTTCTTCGCAGGAACGTGAATTAAGATGGTATAATATACGATACAATATGTAATACAATTTACTTTAGCTATACCATTGTATGATTATAATTTTCCTTATTATCAAGCTCTAGTCAGCAAGAGCGATGAATATTTTGTTTTGAATATTAACACTCGTCGATCACGTTGATTTCCTTGGTATATGTTACATCTTATAGATCACGGTGAACTGTACTTGGCCATCAGATTTTTATTCCCAAAAACTTCCCTGTCTCAATGATAAAATTAACCCTTGGCAACGAGCCACCACAATAATCCGAGAGTATTTAATTAATTAGAAGAATCGATCCGAACGAATTCGCATCGCCATTCTAACAAGCAAAGGCGAAGCAATTTTCGATTTGCCAAATAAACGTCTGCAAAAAATCTGGTTTTACCCGGGGACGGACGCTCCCGTGTTTCTTGCCCGTGTCGTTAATTAAAAATTTTGAAGTCGCGCTTTAATTAAAAGCTCGAACGATCGGAGCGAAGACAGGCGAGAATGGTCGTTCGTTCGTGAAAACTTCCCTTCGAGTCAGATCAATCTACGTTCCATCCCCTGTTCCGGCTGTTTCTCCCCCTCCCCCCTCCGAAAGGGTCGAACACTGGTGAAAAAAAAAAAAAGAAAAAAAAAAGGAAGAAACGGAAAGCGGATCGGCGACACTTGGCGCGTGCACGCGCGCCAACGACACGCCGCGATCGCGAAGGAAACAAAAAAAAACGAAGATTCTCGATTCTACGCGCCGCGATCCGTGCCGCGCGCGCGAGAACAGAATTTAATTACGTATTAAACTGCGTCCTCTCTTACCCCACCGTTTCTCACCCCCTGTCTGTTTCATTCTGTCTCTGTTTCCCTGGTTGGCTGGCCTGAAGCCGCCTTACACAGAGTCGGCCGCACCGGTGGAACTTCACAAGAGGCACAGGTACTCGACTTTCAATGACTGCCCCCGGGGACCATTGTACCCAATTTCAAAGGATATAATTACGCTCACCTATGCCACGCTCGAATATCGCGAACTTTTGTTCACCCGTGCGAATTATCCTCGGCTCGATCGCTTCGATTCCCGATAAGACTCGCCTTTCCATCCGGCAACCTCTTTCCCCTTCTTTTTTTGTTTTTGCATTCTTTTCGTTCGATGCGAGGAGACGAGTTGCTTGCTAGTTGGTTCGAAGGAAGTTGATTAAAATCGACGACGACGCATGTAATAGTCGGAAACGAGGATGAGAGATTCGTCATAGAGTTTGCAAGTTTCGATGAAACCGGGGTTGTAAACTCGGATTATCAATTTATCTGGAATTGTATTATAATATATAGAGTGATTCACGTAACTTGCACATGTGTATATTATGTATCATTACCTGTAAGTGATTGCTATATACAGTTTATCGCATTAAAAAAAATACTGAAATATATTACACGTATAAAATATAATATATAAGAAATATACAAAGTTTTATTTAAATTCATTCTGTCATGAATAAAGTATATTGAAGTTTATTTAGATTGTTTCACTTTATATACTCAATTACGAAATGACATGAGATAGCTTCTGCGTAAAATTGCCGGTCAACAATCTGTCAAGTGCTTAGACGTTATCCTCATCAAATTTTTAGAATTGGGATTATCTCACTCACGTGCGAATTAGGTCTACTTGTAAGATAATAACACTGACGTTTACAAATATTGTCGAATCCTCTGACGATACTACAATCTTTCATCCTCGAGACAAATTATCATAAAATATTTCCTTAACCATTAAGTTTAAAACGAATGTGGCTATTTTTTACTTATTGTTAGAATTTCACATTCTTTCGACTTATAATGAAGAAAATATATGGTCCAATTAAAAAAAATAAAAACGAAATTTCGAAACCCCGCAACACACAAAAAATTGACACGTCATATTTTGCCTTCCTTAAAACCGTACAACTTTTGTATTAAATAATTTTTCAGTAGATGCAACTGAGAAGTTATTTCAGGTGTGCAAGTTGAATCAATCTGTATATTCATTTGGACGTAGATATTACATTAAGTTTGAAGTTCACTTCTGCACTTCATTAAACTGATTAGCTGACAATCAATTACGCGAAAATGGGTGCTTATAATAATCTATAATAATTATAGGCAGATATTTTTGTGAGTAATAAAACACTTACATCTAGGTTCCTCTTTCCTTTAATGATTGTCTTTCTCGACACATTCTTTTTTATTAGTGAAATTATTACTAACATCGCTAAAAATCCCCTTGTTTGTTGAAATAAAAATTCGGGGATTAAATACATTGCTGACACATTTCATTATTCGAATTCTTTGACAATTTAGATCCCGGCTTCGTTTTTTTCAAAGTAGAGATTAACAAGATCCGTAAGATAGCTCGTAGATCTGCAAATATTGATCTTCAACGAGCCACTGGAAGAGGCTTGAGGGAGAAAGAAAAAGAAAAAACAAAAACAAATGAAAAGCATTTTGAGGTGTTGAAAGGTACAGAGCGAGGACTATTTGCAAGACCTACATTATGAAATTAGCGGACTTTCATCCGGGCATGGATAAAATCGGCGCTAGTGAAACCACAATGGCTTTATCGTCATCTGCATTCGTCACCCTGGTTCCAATAACGAGCGAATAATTTGAAAAGCTACCCTTTTATCAATCGTATCACCCATTTCTTACAACTCTTTTGTGACTGATTATGACGGGAAGAGGGAATAAAATAAAAGAGGTCTACGAAAAGATCAGTATCGTTAAAGCTCTTTTTTTTCTCTCTTTTTCATTTCTTTCTCACTGGTCAAATTTCACGTGCACGGTCCATTGTACAGGCAAATAAGGCCATTGTGATATCATTTAAATAGGAGGGCGCCGAATACGTTAATGACTCGCGAGAAGGCTCTGTGAAATCGAGCATACTGCGCGTTATTTCGTTATTCAACGAGGTGGAGAAAGAGAGAGGGAGAGAAAGAGAGGAACGTAAGATCGAGAAGTCGAGTGGTGGCAGGCGCTTGGACTCGGTTAATAGAAATCGAGAACAGCTTTGTCCATTTGTACGATCCTGGCCTCTCCGAGGAACTCAGCCATTGTACGAAGAGTCGAGTTTGTTCTACTCTATTCGCGTCTCAGATCGAGATCTTAATAACATTTTTCTGTGCCGGGTTTTAATCCAAAGTCGATCGACCTTTTCTGTCTCGACGTTCGCGTTACGGGGCTGTTGGTCTCGTTCGGCGAACAATAACGAAAAGTACGTGACAATGAGAGGGAACTCTTTTGCTGGATTGTTCTAACAAGTAGGAAGGAATAATTTAATAGAAGTGTAATTAGGAAAATTTTAAAAGCGACAGATTATTGCTTCATTCTTTCCTTCGTTATTTAGTTATCAGTGTAATAAATCGAAGGGAGATTTTACAATCATCGTTTATGTATAAAATAAATATTTAATTTGTGAGTCTTGTTATCATGTAAAAATATACAAAATATTGGTTCAAAGGATACCTTCATTTCTATAAATATATATATATTTTTTTATAATACCTTAGATCAAACGTTAATTCTATCTTTAATCAAAATTGACAGTATATCTCTAAAGTAGTAATCCATAAAACATAAACATACTGAATCGACTGTTTCCACAAACGCGTTCCATAATCTAACGAGACCACAACAAGCGTGAAAAGACGTGGACGCAAATTAGCTGGTCTCTCGGCCGACCTTTTCATCCAACGTGTGTGTCTTTGACGTGCAAGAAAAGAGATGTATAAAAAGATTGCTCGTAAATAACAGGATGTTTATACGAAATTGCACTTCTCGGAAGCCTCCCCCGTTCTTTCGGGTTTCCATCGAAATTTACGAGCAACCCGTGTTTTGAACGAACCCAGCGAACAACGAAGAATGGCAACAACGATGAAAACCGAATGGTATTAGCGTTCCTCGAAGAGTAAACCAGTCACGATTTACGCAGCGAGTGTCAACTGACATCAAGCTATTGTCAGGCACGACGAATCGATTCAAGTCCGAGTGTGACACGTGATTCACGATACCGATGCACACGCGTGACGAGAAATGCAGCAGTGAAGATGAAGAGTGCGAGCACATGCACGAACTTTGTGAAAATTGTTGAAATTCGAGGATCTGAGGCGTAGAGCTCGATGATGAATCCAACGTCATTAACAACGATCGAATAACTTGGCGAATGATTTTGTGATAACATTTTCTAAAAAATTATACTATACACACACGTAAGAAAAATTCAGCCTGTGAGAAAATTCAAATTGTTTCGGAGAATTGGTGGAATATTATAGAAAATTATTTTGAGAAAAAGTTGCAAGTTCAATGCTATAGCTATTTTGGAACGTGTCGATAAAGATGATGATTTCAGGATGGACACAGTTCGTCGTTATTTTTTGGCTGACTATCGGGATCAATTTTTTACTTCGATGTCGTCTAACAACTTTGGTTTCGTCCTATGCTACTCCAATGATATTAACTTTACAAAAATTCACAAGATCACGATGTGAAGTTTCGCCCGAACAATCTGAAAAGAATCCTCGCCGCTTCATTTTAATAGAAGCGGAGCCTGTAAATCACGATTCTCTGATTTCGACGAGAATACATTTATAATCACGTTCCTCGTTCCTACGTCTGAAAAAAAAAGAAAGAAAAGGAACGACCGACGTTCTCGAACAATGGTGCGTTTCTACGTAAAAAATGACAAAAGCGGCCGAAAGCGTTAATCTCCATAAATAACGAAATAATACGGGCAATTCGAAATCCCGGAAACGGTGAAACCGTTCGGGCTGAGATTGGAAATGATGAAGAAGAAGCGCTGAACAAGCTGGTGCGCACGCGGCGAAAGTCCGCCCGGCCAGACTGTTTGGCACCATCGAACAATACCAGCGCCCCGCGGGCCTACAGTATGGGGTCCCATAAAGATTCTCGGAACGGGCCGAATTCCTCTGCTTTCCCAGAATAATAGGCGCGCGGCTATCTTTCTCTCTTTCCTTCTATTCGACTGGTGGTCGACTCCGTTTAAAAACGTGACCACGGTTCCAAAACATTATTTCGACTCTCGCCAATGGCGGAAATTATGTACCATTTTCGGAGCGGACAAAAGTGAAAGGGCGCGATAGTCTGCCGCGACGCACCTGTGGAAACGGCGTGCAGGTGACGTACGTTTGAGCGTACAAGTACGAGTTGTCTGTTGCACAATGACAGTTTAATAGATCGTCTATCCGAATGAATGAGACACCATCGATTGAGATTTTACTTTGCTTTCATTCTGAACAGATACGTTCTCAGGAAATTGAGGTAGATACTTGGGTGTTCATTGAAAGTCTAAATATATTTCTTCTGTAGAACGACTTTCTTCTTTGTTAAATTGTTAATTATGTACGGCGTGAAGTTTTTCTGTCTAGTATTAAACCTTTCTTTTTCTTCGAATATTAAACTCATTAAACACATCTTTTAAGGTTGGCTTCGTTATTCAAATTACAATAGGTAGTATTGAAATAGGTATTTCTTACTTTCTTATTAAAATGCAAAATTATACAAGATGCACAAAAAATACATAATACCCAAGTGTAGTGCTTTCTGTGATATTTGGCACACACTCACACGTAAAGTATAAAAATATTTCCTATAAAGCATCTATTTTTCTGACTGGCATTTTTAAAAATTTGAATTTGAATAAGCACATTCTCAGTCTGGCTACAATATATATTTCAATAAATATAACAACAACACTGAATATCAATAAATATAAAAAAAAGAATTTTCTATCAATATCCACGGATTATTCTGTGTTCGTGGATATTGTTCGAAGAATATTCCGCTTTATGATGCAAATGAGTT